GGGCCAGGGGGGGGGGGGGAGGAGAGCAATATTGGTAGCAGGGGAAACCAATCAAGAGACTCTTGAGTATTCACATGAAAAGATCAGGTGGTGCTGATTGGAAATATATTATGGTGTTATAACCAACACAGTGTTGTGATGAATTAGATGACAGTGAAGAAGAGGAAAAAAACGAGAAAGGTAGACATTTCTGAATAAAGCAGCTGGGCAGAGGTTGATTCCATTTACCAAGATGGGGAAGCCCAAAGAAGGAACATTGAGGTGGTTAAGGAGGATTGAGTTCAGGTTTGAACATGTTAAGTTCAAAAAATCTCATAAGACATCTAAGTAAAGATAGTCATGCATTTTGTTGTATTTATTATTATTATTTTATCTGCAGATAGGCCAGTCAGCTATTCTCAAGTGTGGAAAAGCTTTGAGGATTGTTTATAACAAATAAAAATGCTAAGAACATCGAAAGTGCTCTTGTTTATTAGCAATGCATAGGCAGAGTTATTTGCTCTGCAGGTAAGCACTGGAAATAAACAAGTCTTTTGGAAGGTACTCGTGAAATGCTCAGATTTTGAGATTTTAATTTGAATGAGTTCACAGAGAAAATTCTGCTTTGGAACAAGATTTTTGAAAAAAAAAATACTTCATCTTTTTGTGCACAGAGCCTGGCGTATTATTAAGATCTCATAAATATGTGAGCGAAGAAGTAAACCTCTAATTATCAGTGTTGACTGTGGCAGTTGTTAGCACTCAGCATTTTCCATGCCTTCAGAAGAGTCTCTCTTTTAGAGAACACTGCAACTTTGCAAGTGAATTATTTTTATATATGCATAGCATTTAAAATATTGTTTGATTTTNTGCAACTTTGCAAGTGAATTATTTTTATATATGCATAGCATTTAAAATATTGTTTGATTTTCTAGAACTTCAACACTGCAATTCTTATGTTTAAAAACCAAGGAAGAAAAGGTTAATTTTTGTAATTAGAGTATATTGTAAAACATTTGGAAAATAGAGAAAGGGAGTTAAAAATCACTCATAATTTTGCCGGCGTGATAACTATTGGAATTTTTGTGTATTTCTTTCCAGTCTTTTTTGCTATGCATGCAAACATTGAAAATTATGTCCTGTGGCAATGAAGAGTTATATAAAGTGATTTCTCACTAGGATTTATATTTATTTAGGATAACATTCTAGTAAAACTTAAAAAGCTATGGTCTAGTTAAGATCTCTAAACAAGTGAAGTGAATGATTTAACATTTTTATGCATAGCTCAGAATTTTAAGCATTATTCTTTCTGTTTTTAAAAAAGAATACCTGGCATTGTTGCTTAATCCTTTTCATTTCTAGGAAATGTAAGAAAAATTCTCAAAGTTGCTGCTTTGGAGGATATGTGGTTGCTTTTCTCTGTTAGGCTCTTTCTGCCTCAAAATGGCATAAAAGGATCCTCCTGAGGGGTCAAAAGGACATCTGTCTTTTTTTCTTTTCCTTTTTTCCTTTCTGTTTTTTCAAGAACACAGCAGTGATAAAAATTGAGTTGTCTAAATGGTGACTTTGTTGCTATTTAGAATTAGTTTGCTGTTAACAGGTATTCCTCATCTTGGCTATTTCTAAAATAAAATTTGTAAAGCCCCAAATTTTAAAACAAAATTGCAGAAGGATTGTTGGAAAAAATGAACTTCTAATTTCCTTTCAGTGGTTGCATCGAATAAGACCACCTCTGTTAATACCACTACTAGGTAGTCAGTGTGGCCTAAGAGTCCCTGGGCTGTAGGTGCTCATAGTGTAAGATGCTGCTGCCTAGGTCCCATGTTGTTTTTTAGGTGATGCCAGTAGAAGTTGACTCTTTGATTTTTGAGGATCAGAAAAATTTTCATGTTCAATATAATTGGGATTCTTATTTTCCTCCAAAAGTGCTGCTAT